TTTTGGTTGCGTTTCGTGCTATAATCAGGTCCTGTGCGATGCTCTTGTACTTAAGATTATTTTAAGTACAAGATCATTGCATGGGATCTAACCATAGCGCGGGACGGGGCTAAAATTGTGCAAATCTGCGTTACCCACTTAGCAAAATGTGCAAATTGGCTACGTAGTTCAATGTCCACGTTTTCAATGTCCACAGAGGGCGTATCGCATTCGCGTATCACGAAAAACGGGGCCGTGACATCTCTCAGGCTTCTCTCTGCTACGTAGTTCTAAATGGCGACGCGAATCAGCTTGATTTTGGTATTTTCGGTACTCGCGCGAGAGTCGCGAAAGCTCCAGAGCGTGATTGCGTTAAATGGTGGCAGTATTGATCTTTTTCGGAATCAAAAGGTATACGCCAATAAAGAAAGAAGACGAAGAAGATCGATCTCAGTATTCAGTCGCTCCAAAACTATGTGGTATTACCACGTGACTTTCCTAACCTTACATGTTGACAATGCATAACCAAGAAAAAAGGGAATCGAATTGATAAAGAAAACATTGTTAATAAGTGTCTTGAAAAATACTGAAGTACGTACTGTACGAAAGAATAGAATAATTTAATAAATACCGGAATTGAAGAGAGATTTCTATCTAATGGCCGAGATGTCGAATACAACAATAAATGGATAGGAAACTGAAGAAAGTCCGTGTGAAAACAACTGGCCAAACCAGTTGAAGTCAGAGATTATTGACGAGATGAAGGATCGTATTGAACACGGTACACCTAAGAAGGTGGATAAACCAACAGATTCTTATAATACAAACAAAACTACATGGGTTAATACAATCGACTGTGCAAACGAAAATATTAATAGTCCTCAGAAGGACAAATACTTGGTTGATCACGAGAACTTGTTGACGAGTCCGAAAAGATGGAATAAATCTGTGGATACGTGTCCACAGAGAGAAAGAACGATTAGTACAAACATTGATTACGATACATTCCAATTAGAATTATCCAGTATGGAAAAGTCTAACTTTGACACTATTTACCTGTTGCATAACTCCAATTCTGCAATAAAATTTGAAGATACTAACGATATTTTATCCACGATGATGGATGTCGATACGATGCAGGAGAATGATAGTCTGTTGGGAGCGAACAAGGATCCAGCGACAGATCCCCTTTCTATTAGTGATTGTGATAAGAAAGATCCTGATACAGCTATAGATTCGGATTCAAAGTTGAGCAGAAAACGTAAAATCAGCGTAGAGTCAAAGTCTCAAGTGAAACGGCGAAGCAAACGTCGTTGTACGAAAAATAGGCTGAGTATAAAAGAGGAACAGCTTATGGATGAGTTGGAAAAGTTCGAAGAATGGGAAAGAATGCCATTGAGTGAGATAAAGGTCGGTTTTAATTATTATACTCTGGTATATTGTATGATTTATTTATCTTGTGTATATTAATTGAATTTTTATATTCCAGAAATTAATGGATTTACGTGTAAAACTGATACACAAGGTGCCACCGCAACACAAAATAGAGCTTTCGGGATCTCACGCGCCAACGAGGATAGAGAAAATATTATTTCTCAAACATGGACCAATTCGAAAGGGCTTGTACACACCCACAGAGGACGAGAATATCAGGAAAAACTGGGAGATGTTTTGCAAGGTATATCTTAAATATATCAGAACAATATAATTATATTATTAATATGTGTTGTATACAGCTCCATGACTGGAACAGAAAGAAAACCCAGCCATTTCTTCATTGGAGACACGATGGAAGATATTACATACAGGACGTGGAGGAAAGACAGAAGTTCGTTCAATTTTTGGCAAATAAATTACCTTGGCGAACTCTCTACAGCGTTTATTCCAGATTTAAAGTATTATATCGCAATAAAATCACTTATTCTCGGTAAGCTACAAAGATCTTAAATCAAGAGTTGATTTTAAATTGCCTGAATTCGTGCTCACGTGTAATTGTTGTGCCTCAGTTATACTCCCAAAGAGGATAAGAAAATTTTAATGTACATACATAATGAACGTTTGGATAAACGTGATAATAAATACACTGAATTAGGGAAGCTACTAAAACGAACAAGTCGGTCGGTTTTTAAACGATATCGGTTTCTCAAAAATCGACTTCAGGATAATTCGGAAAGAACACGTAAGTAACTCTAAGGCGATATGTTCTATCACCATGAAACGTTATACTTATATCTCTAGATGCCTACATTCATACCTGTATATTAACAAATCTGTTGAATCTAATTACAGCGTTAACTGACGTTAAATGGACCTTACCACTAATAAAAAAATATATAAAAACTTTACTCAGTTTAACCTTAAGTGACGATATAAGAGAACTTAAAGGCGCCATACTTCCCAAACCAGTGTGGCAGAAAATGGAAGAAAAACTAAATATACATCATAATGTCTTGAGAACTTTCTGGCAACATCAGTTGCATCTGCAGTTGTTCAGTACAGAACCTATTTATTTAAACGATATCAAGATACAATTAATTGAATAGTAAGTATCATTACATCCTATACAATTGTAATGAGGATCATTAAAATTGATTTTAATAGATTATAATAGATAATTATAAGCATTGTTGGATCACCATATACAAATTAAAGCATTTAATTTACTGTTGCAGTATGTATGCAAAAGGAATATCTAATACTCGTGAAATTATATGGCCCAATGTTGCAAAACATTTTGATGGAGCAACTGCAGTATTCCTTTGCAAGGTTCTTTTTTATCTTGTTCAAGAATGCAACATGAGCAACGTAGATAATTTTGCTGGTAACGAAATATCTAAATTATATTTATAAATGTTATATTCGTTATATGCGTATGCATTATATGAGAATTTTTATTACAGCTGTTGTACGACACTTATATCGTACTAAAATCCCGGAAATTCGAAAGGCCCCAACCGATAAGTTCTTGCCTAAAATTATTTATAAATATGGGAAAATTTCTTTAGTAAATAAAAATTCCAGCAAAACGATTCTAGCTGACACTGATCAGCAAGAAAGCGATCATACCGATTCTACTTATTCCGACAGTTGACCATCTTTTCAGATTTAAGTTACAGTATATTATTATATTTTTGTAAGTTTAAATTACGTGTTATTTTAACATATACTTAAAATTGACATAATTAAATTGGCGCTTAAAAACATATATTACTTTAAATGTCATTTTTAATTGTTTCATGGGAAAATATAAAAATTTATTAAACAAAATGTAGTTATTAAGCATATACAGCTATTTTATTTTTAAAAAAAGAATCGATACAATGAATTCTTTTTGGCTCTTTGCTACACTAACACACAGATACCCCAATCATTTTAGTTTAATCCTCCTTGTTTCGTCTAAATTTAAACCTTGTTTTTCTTCGACTCTTTTTCAAGTACTTTCTCTTTTGCTTTTTGATACAAAGGCACAAGCTTGCCTTCTTTAGCAAGCATCTTCAAAAGTTCCATGATAAGCGGCAAATAATTATGCTTCCGTCTAATGTTCTCTATTTGATATCTTTTCGACTTTCTGATCTCTTCCTCAATTAGAGCTTGCAAACGTTCCAATTCTTCAGGATCGCAAACATTAACCTTCTGTCTTTCGTACAAAGTTTTTCTGTCTGTCACTATAGCCATTAGATTGAAATGAATTTCGCCTTCATTATACCTGTTTACAATCATTTTCATGTTAATATTGTGCAATTAATAAACATATATGTACATGCTGTGTATTCATTGCCAGTACTGAAAATCTATAGTGTACATGACATAAACTAACATTTTCAGTATTACTAGCAGTGAATATCGAAACGCAGTCGTAATAATACATCGTAATACCTATTTATACACGTGATAAATTACTGAGAGAGCCATATTTCACAACTTACTTGTTTATCCGCTTTTGAATTATAGGTTTGGCAGCTTGTACCCATTGTTCTCCCACTGGACATTGTCCCAAATCAATTGGTCCGTCTTTCAATCCGTCTAATTCATATAAACGACCATCGATTGGAACGTAGCTCACAAAATGAAACACATCATCGTCTTTCGATGCCTGCTTTGAGTCATATTCGAATAAAGACTGCCTAAAATATCAGTATATCTGATAAGTGTAGTACAATATAAACTTTCCTTTAGCATAAAGAATATTTGGTAGTTAGCTAAAATAAATATGCACTAAATACCTTGAGAAGGAATTATGCACTTCCCTTATAACGTCAGAATTACTAAGTGCAAGTCCGCGCATATTTGCATCGAAACTTTGACAGAAATTTTTAAATTCTTCTAAGTTTGGTCCTAGAGATATGTCTGTGTGCTTACAATTCAATAGGACACTCAGTATTGCTTGTGTCGCGCAGGCATTGTTTATCACCTAAAATTAAACGTTATTTTAAGTAGGATCTAAAAACTCAATTTTACATTCAGTAAATATGTTTTAATTAATTCTCTTTTATATTTTTGTACAGTAATAACAACTTATAATTTACTTTTTCCCAGTTTAAGATATCTATTTTGCATTTTACATACCTGTTTTGCAAAGAATATTTTGTCCAATCTACTGTCTTGCACAATATTCCCTGATAATTCGTCATCTTGTACCCATTTGAATAAAAATATTAAACCATGAATAGGCCTGCGAACAAAATGGAATTTATAAATTTAAGTTTAAAAAATGACTATGTAAAAGTTAATCTACAAATATGAGAGTATGACAGTTTTTATTTAAATCAATAACATTTTATTCCTCTGTATCTGTATGTTAGTTCTCTTATCTATATTGAAAAGAAAACAAATACATATGATAATTCTGAAGAAGAATAATTGAACAAAAGTAGAAAAATTAATTACAAAGAATATATATCTAATCTCTCACAGATATCTTTCAGGTAACATAAAAATCTTAGTAATTAAGTTTGTTCTTCTTATAGCCAAACTGGCATACACTTTTGATAAAAATAAGATAGCTGTATATTTGAAATTTGACAAAAGCCAAAAGGAAAATTCTAGCGCAATCCAGCGCGATAAAAACAAACTTCTATATTACATCCAGTAAACACCAAGTAACAGTCAAATAACATGAATATTATAATTTCCTACTCAACAATGTAAATGTAATATAACACGTGTGTTATATTACATTGTTAAGTAGGAAATTATAATACTGATATTATATAACTGTTACTTTGTGTTTACTGGGCACAAAATCGACTCACTTCAACTCATTGAACTGCTCGTCATCCAAACTCCATAATTCTTCCACTTGTGCACCTTTGACACCTAAATAAAAATAAAATAATATTCCACTTAGTAATACACTTGATTTTAAAGGGTTGAAAAATGAACGGCTGAAGAATTGAACCTGTGAGAATAGAAAGGAGACGCGTGATATTTTGGCCAAAGTTTAGTCAACAATAAATCCTCGCTGTGTATGAATGGAATTGGTTAAAAACATTTTTTTTAATTAAAATTATTTTAAGCTCCCTCTTCAGGGCAAGGTAACATAAACTCTATTGAAAAATTAAAATTGCTTATCAAACAAGCTTTGTTTTTCTCAAATATGTACATGATTTTGTCACATATCCTTTCTGTTCTGAGTTAATTAAAGAATTCAATTGAAAAGAAAGGCTGAGATTTGAGAATCACAGTTTATAATAAATACGTTACAATAAATAAATAAATATATACATACGAATATTTATAACAGCTTGATTATAAATTAATAACAAAATTTATACATTATCTATCTATATATGTGTATGCATGTATGGAGCACGTAAACACAAGGCTTTCCCTTGAGACATCGCCCAAAATTCGGGCAACGCTAAAAATAGCGCAAGCAGAGAAGACAGCGTAACGAGGAAACAGAAAATAGAAATCTACTTGCCGAATTCTTTAATTAATTCTGTAAAAACGCCAGGATCACTCTCAATGAGACACCAATTTCCTGCCGAGTCCGCCATATTTTATACACTGTCACAAACGTGTTACGTGGAAGATGTATGTACAAGTAGATAGAGAACGTACGAAAAATTCTGATAAACTGCCACGCCGCTCCGCGGCAGACTTTGCAACGTTCTGCAGATCAATTTTTTTCCGACAAATTCCGTCGGTACAACAGATATTCTTAATAAACATTATAACAATGTAAATATAGGCTGCCATTCGTTTTGGACATCACGTGCTGAAATGTGTCTTTTTATCTTTCCTCAACCTGCTGAGAGCATCATTATACATAACGATCGCAGTAAAGGCGGCTTTTAGCGCGCGAGCGTCCAGAACGAGTACCAGCTATTATACTTCTAGGTTACGTTCCAAAACGTTTTCTCTGGGGAAAACTTTACTCGAGAGATGGATCGGGGAGGTCTCGAAGTGGCCAGCGAGTAAACTTTTCCTCGGAGAAAAAGGCGCCGGAACGTAACCTTGAGTATACAATACGTATTATACATGCCCCTCGCGGGATTGCGGCGAATTACCGACGGTCGGTACATAAATACAATTATAATTCGCATTTTACGGCTCGTGGAAATTTTGCTTACTGTTTATAACAGCGAATTTGTTCGCGGGGCTGCGTAAACATCACGGGAGACGTTCAGGGATCTTGACGGTCAGAACGGAGCGGAGACAAAATCACAGTCACGCGCACAATAATATGTACGCGCGATACAAGCCGACATACGGGGTGGCGATTCGTTGCTATGCCGAACGCCGAATCGCAGAAATAGTGCGCAACAATTAACGTCGCCGCTGCGGTTATTATTGCGGTCTATCTTGCGTATATTGTTTAATTTCCTTCGTTTCCGCCGCCGTGGATTCAGGTAAGTGTGAACGTACACCGCAGTTTCTTCGGTAACGTACCCCCCTTTAACCTAGTCCAGCCTAGTCTAACACAAGCAACTTTGAAAGTAGAGGCTTTTTCTACTGAATAACGTTAGAAATTGTGCAATTATCGCGCTCCCACGTTTATTTGTGTCAGGTTTTATCTATTAGCGTCGCATACCGCGTTTGCGCCATTCTTAAAAGAGAAACCGCTATACATTTCCGGTGAACACCGAGCATCAGTTGCATTGCATTTATGCATTACAGTTTCTCACTCGGCAATGCAAATGAGTAGCACACATGCGTTATATTACATTCGCATTGCCGAGGGAGAAATTGTAACATAAATACAGTGTAACTGATGCTCAGTGTTCGCTGGGTTTACACTTATCTATACATTAAGACCTGTATACGGTGAGTTGGTAGTCAGAAGTCGCACCTATATGTTGTTCCTTTTTCCTTCTGGGTGGAAGGAAAAGGGCCGACGTATAGTTGTAACTTCTGACTAACGACTAACAACTCACTGTAGACCGGGCCTAACACTGTCATAACGTGTGTAACGTGTAAACAACTCCTTTGCGGTTCCGTTTAGGTTCAGTCTCACCGACGTCGCTTAACTTTAAGCTTAGCTTAATTCGTTCTTTGTCTCTTTCCAGCTGTTACTTTAAAAAGAGACAAAACATGAATTAAACTAAGATTAAAGTTAAGCGACGTTTGGTGGAAGCCTTAGTCGTTATAATATAATTTATCATCGCCACTGTTGATTGCAACTGATCCCGAAATCACACATTATCAGATAACGAATTAATAACACGAACGTTATCACGAATTCTAAATATATACTTTGCAGTTACGCTTGGCCTTTACTTACTTGATTTAGCATTATTTGTTATCGAGCAGTATTCTAATTTGCATTGCAAGTAGCTACGGAAGCCAGCGGCTGGACGTTCATGGCTTGATCAGTTTCAGGCAAGATGTCCGAGCAGTTTCTGGGTTGCACAGTCTCGGTGAAGTGTATCGATGATCTTGCCTACCAGGGTAAAATTATCGATCTAAATAAGAGCAGCCTGACTCTGGCTAAGGCATTTTGCAACGGCATACCTCACACCTCTTCTGTCGTTAACTTGAGGCGAGTTTGCCCACTTGATACATTTTTATGATAGTTATCAGAGTGGTAAAAGTTCCCAGATTTTGAGTTTAATAATTTGGTGTAGCTCGGGTACGTTTGTTTACGTACTGTAGCAGAGTAATCTTGTATATACAGAAATTTTAATAAAGTTGTAATATACAGAACATTTAATAAAGTTTAAATAATTTTATCAAGTTGAATTTAAAAATAGACTGAAGTAAAAGAAAATTTTCATTTATATGAATTCAATTTAGTGATGTAGTAAATTATTTGTTTAATTCAATGCATTGTCTTTGACGGCCAAAACTTTTGAATTCGGTTTTATTAGAATTGCTATTTTTGTGAAAAGGGATAGTATGGAATGTCCGTTGACCAACTGCCATTTCGGAGGACTAAGTTTGTGTTTCAAATTACTTATCATTGTCCTGTTCCCCAAGGCACGACACACCGCGATTTGTTTACCTTTTCTTTTGAGGTGAAATATTCTCGCACTTAAAAAGTTCTTAGTGTCGTATATTTGGGGTGGCAATCTAGGAATTAAACTTATACTTTTCGAAAGTTTTTTTTACAGACAGCTACTCCAGCATTAATATTAGAGTACCATAATCTATCGATAATTTATCCAACATAACATCTTAGCTCATGTATTAATTATTATATATATTATTACAGTGTAAAGTATATACAGAATCTTGAAATTATATCAACCGAGGAAGTGGGAAATGTAAACGACACGCACAGCAAGGTGATTGTAAAGAGACCGATTGCGAAAAGGGCTGGGCGATCTATTTCAGAGTGCGTTCCAAATACAGTGCAAGCGGGAAGTTCTCAGACGCAGACAAATTTCAAAAAGCCTGCGGAGCCTAACCAGCAACAAGTAGAGCAAACTCCTAATGGAAAAATACCTCCAAGTACACATTGTATGACTTAAATTAATGGTCTGGCGTAATCTATGTCATATTAATGTGACAATTTTGTTGCAGCCGAAAACAATGCGTCTAACAACAAGTCAGTCTCAAAAAGACTAACACACAGGCAGAGAGCGCTGGAAAGGGACGAACATACCTTTGGTACTCCGATTGATCAGTCCTTACAGCAAGACTTTGATTTCGAAAAGAATTTAGCATTGTTCAATAAAGAGGTTGGGGTTTTTACTGTTCTCTAAAGAATATTTAATTATATTATTTATTTATATTAAGGAGGAAATTGATAAGTGATTTTGTCATAATTGCAATTGGTCTCTTGCAGGCTGTGTGGCAAGAAATAAACTCTTTGAAACCGGATATCGTTAGGCAGTCAGAAAGCAATCGGGGTACTACGGCTATCTACCGGCCTGACGAAAATATTCTTGTATCCGAGCCTACAGTGCTCAGACAGATTGTGGTGCCTTGCCGCGGTGAAAAGGAATATGTTACAGATAATGGTCTGGTGATTCCCAGTATCACTCTCAATCTACATCGGCAGTTAATAGGTGCGGCAGATAGATTGGGAATAAGTTGGGAACGCAGGGTTCGTACTAATATTATATATCTACCTATTTCTTTTCATATCGAAATGAGAAAGGGAGATAATTCTAGAGATTCTACATACAAGTATAGTCCTTGAGATACATTTAAATATAAACGTGATCGATGGAATATTTATGAATACTGATTAGAAAATAATTGTGGCATTTTTTAATTTAATTCCGTTTTAATTGTATATTTTTCTCTCTTCTTTATTTCTCTATCACCCCGGTATTTTCTTTGATAGGTGGAGTTGCTCGGTCGCGCCGGTGCTGAACTCACCCTACAGTTATTGGGTGGAAGTCATCGGTTGAATCCGAATAATGCGCATCAGTGGCCCACCGTGGTCGCGCTGTGCGGACCGCATCGTTCCGGCGCCGCGGGTATAAATTGCGCCCGGCAATTGTCCGGTCACGGTGTAAAGACAATCGTGTTCGTGGAGAATACGGAAGATGTATTTCTCCTGCAGGAGCTGTCGCTGTACAGGCTAACGGAGAACAAAGTAGAGACCAAGGTCAAGAATCTACCTTCAATGGTGGATCTGATACTTGTGGCGCTCTGCGATGAGGATTCACCTAGAATAATCACGCCAATAGCGAGGTGGGCGAACAGTAATCGGGCGCCCGTGCTGGCTATCGAACCACCGGCGACGGGTACACCGGGTATACTCAGTAAATTCAGCCTGTTGGGTGCCCTACCGCTATCGCACAGCGTTGACAACGGTAGATTGTACCTGTGCAATCTCGCGTTGCCGAACAAGGTCTATTCCGACGTCGGCATCACGTACAGATCGCCGTTCGGACCTAAATTCGTAATTCCTCTACATTCCAATAACTCTTAGCAAATTTTTAAGGATCACATCGTGTCTTTTTGAATAGACGCCTTCATTTTATCTTATGCGATTTATAAACCTCGTATACAGGGAAATATATCTTATTTCTGAGGCCCACTGAGTAACAAAGAGTTTAAATATAGTTTGGCGTTTGATATAAACTTTTAGATGAACTTTTAGAGCAACAGAGAGAGAGAGAGAGAGAGAGAGAGAGAGAAAGAGAGACAAAGAGAGTGCATAGTGTACTATAATACATTAATTGCATGATATCTGAAGATTGATGACACAATGCATATTATTTCCAACATTGTAACTTCGAAAGCTGTATTTTAAAATCTTGATGAAGCATTATGCGTTATAGATAAAGAAACCTAGATATTTTGTCTGTGAAGCTGTGAAAACATCGTTTTATTAGATTTATTATTAGATTAATATAAGGTATAGCATCACTAATGCTCCGAATATAAATGACATACCCCTCCCAAGTAAAGGGTATATAAATTCTTTCTGTACGAATAGCTTCATGTATAACAGCACGATTTTGCATCGACGCACATGGGTATCTTTAACTATGTATTTGGTACAATTGGATAAAAAAGCTATGTTGCTTTGCCCGCATGCATGTCAACACTACACATATACTATAGTTTATGCCAGTGCTCGGAGTTAGTTGTACATTTCGGGCAGATTGCAGTTGGAAACGAATAAGAAAAAGTAAGTACAGAAATTATATCGCGACAAAGTCTCGTAATAAGAATCATCTTCATGTTTTCCATTTGATAAGTTTAAATAATGAGACTCCTATAGGTATATTAGAGCCACTGTAAGTGCTGTAAGGCACTTGTGTAAAGCACTACTTGGCCACAAAAATGAAAGCTGAAAAATGAAAATATTAAATGGCAACTTGCACATGAGAGGAAAATTCATTATATAATTTTAATAATTTGTAACGTATTTATGTAATCATTAAGAATCTGCGCACGAAAGGTGCATTTATTTAGCATTTCTATTTTGATCAATAAGCTGATTGACAACAGTTTTATACTTTTGCACATCTACATTACTTTGTTCGGTAAGCTCTAGTTACTCGTACATGTACCGAATATTATATTTCACTTTATTTTGTGTTCACCACTTATGTTCCGGTACAGCGATTATAATAGATATAGGTATATTGAAATTATTGTAACGCACATATAAGATATTTCCAGCGTTATACATATAAGGTACTAATTAAAATTTGTGTTCCTTTTTGTACTCATTTCTTTTAACAGTTTATAATCAAGTATGGCATGTGCTTTCTACGATCATACATTTATGGAATTATTATGAATCTAGAAATTTACGTGATATAAGTTTCTTGCACACCCGATGTTTAATGATATTAATATTAAATAATCCCGCAATTCTTGTCCATTTTTAAATGGACTAAATATTATAAAACGCATTTCAAATGTTTTAAATGATTTATTTGGAAGTATACATTTGTCATAAAAACACATTTGATAATAATGATTAAATAAGTAATAAATATTATAGTTATGTTAATATTAATTAGTAATGTTAATTATTAATATGGTAATAATTAATATTAATTATTAACATTTAATAATTGACCCTTTAAATTAATAATTATATATTGATCAAGATAATAATTATTTTAAATGACTAATAATTGTGTACTCAAAATAGATATCTAATTTGCAAATTGTGTTAAACTTTATTACCTAAAAATTATAAATACAAAAGAAATATGATACATGTGTAATTTTCGTCAATATATAATTTTCTTATCTCAATGATTCTTCCAATAATTCAGAAATAAAGAGTATTATAAAAGCTTAGGTATATGCCATAAAATTTTATAAACAATTCGGACATGACACACATTGAATTTCTATCACTGTTAAGTTAATTATATTTGATAATGATTTTTATAATAATAATTATGATTTCTAGCTGATGTCTCATACAAAGATGCATAAGCATTAAATTACTTTGTTACAATGACACATTAAATGAGTTGCAAAGTACTAGATGGTGGAACTGTTCGGTGTAATAAGTTTTCAACAAGAGAAGGAACTAATAAAAAATATATATAAATATAAAACTACTTCTGTAATTTTTACTTTTATAATAACATCATTTGATCATACATGTATTTCTATGTTACAGTCTATGGAAATTTACAACGCCGTCACTTGTTAAAAATATATGATTTTACTGCTATAGTACAGAGAACCGCAATTGCATAAGTAACGAAGTAGCAATGGTATGAAAGTTGAGACTTGTTTGCGGTTATTGTCAATTTTTGTAAATACAGATCAACGAACCTTTGACTTGTTAGAAAAATATCTTGCTACTGAATTCGTTGTAATGTTTCAAATTGAACTAGCGTATATGCATTTTCTATTTCGTTATTCATGATTAGAATGAATTAATTGATCAATGTAGAACACGAGGAACTGTATGCTCTATATAATTAAAAACTATACGTATATTATCCATATACAATATATTTCGTTCTCTAGAAGTTCGAAATAATTCTTTTTTTTTATAATAAATTCAATACGAATATATTACATCTCTCATGTCTATAGGCTAATCATTTTAGATGCATTCAGACAATTACTGTCTTTTAAAATATTAAGTAATTATTGGGTGGTTGCCATATAAAACCGTCCATATTTTAGCAAAAGAATAGAGTGATTTGATAGCAAATCGACGAACTGGCTTATTCAAAGTATTGCCCATCGGAACAGACAACCTTCGCCCATCTTTCGGGCAACAATTGGATTCCACGTAAGAAGAATTCAGATTTTTTGGAAGCAATCCAGTCATCCAGCCATTTTTTTATTTCTTCGTACGAGGTGAAGTATTCTTCCGCAAGCGCAGACTGCGCCGACTGCATCGACCGGAACAAATGAAAAACAGAGGGAGTGATGTCTGGGGAATACGGTGGGTGGGATAGGATTTCCCAGTTCACTCCTTCTAAATACTCCTTGACTGGTTGATTAAAGTCAATCATCAGTGTATTATGCCTACTGAGGATACCACTATAAAAATAACGCGTTAACAATAGTACCTATGGTTAGGTTTACGCGTTATTATCAAAAAATGCTGTGCTCTACATTGTAGAATCTATTTCCAGAATCTAAGATTCTATTCGTTTGGGTTATTTGTCTAGTAACCTAAAGCAAAACTCGTGTCGTCATTAATCGCTCCCGGAGCGATTAATCCTGGTCTAGTCGAAAACGCTATTAGTCGTCTCTTACGACACGGAAGGCTAGCCGGATGATCTATTCGTAAGCGGATCAACACGCCGCTACAGATCTGTCGTCATGTGTATTGCCAGCTTTTTATTCGAAGAAATAGTATCTAACGCTATCTATTGCCAACGGGCGGTTTCATATGCAACAACCCAATACAAACTCATTTTGTGATATTTTGTATATTTTAGTGATACTCTTCTCTATTAGTATTCTAGAATGTATTTCTAATAACATATGATTTTTGTTCGATTGAAATTATAGGCACATGAAATTCTTTTCATATTTTTTGTTTGATTTACCAGCCATTGATTGTATCATAGAATATCGAGCTGTATACCTATGATACTAAAAATACATAGACCAATATTTCCATTTCGTTTCTACGAATCTTTAACGATATATCTATGCAATCATAGACACAAATATTTTCGAATAATTAAGTAGAAATATATACACTTTCCATACATCTACTTTGTGTATTTTTAATGATGCAAGAACACACTTATCTTATTTTATACTCGATCGCTTCCGGCTAAAATATGCCTCATAGTATTTGTGACTTAAATAAAAAGATTCAAATCACTTAACTGTACTCAGCCTCAAGCATATCGTCGTTGCAATTACTTATAAGTTTTAAAAATAGAGTGCAAATATTTGTAAATGTTAATTAAAGATATATACTGAACGTATTAGTGATATATGGATATCGGAATACAAATCAACCAACTTCTAATGTCTAGTCTTCTAATTACATATTCAGCTACACCAGTAAAAATAAGGATAAAAAAATCTTATTGAATCGATAGGTTATAATCATGAAAATTTAATACACATATTTAAAACAGGCTTGGACGGGCAGCGGACAATTGCGTGAAAGATCGTAATTGTGTTAAATTTGATGATAAATACAAATATGATGCACACCTGATTAGCCAATGGCAGCAAGTTATTTTTTTAAATGATAAATATATGAGCAACTATATTCTTAGAACTAATCTTAATAACCTATGGATAAATAGTCTTCACATCATTATTATATTTGTGTTTATAGAGATTATGTATAATAATCCCTTATCGTTTAAGGGCCAGTTTCACAAACGTTGGTTAACTGTTAACCAGAGTTCAGTCAACGCTCTATCTTTTTCTATCTTGTTCTCTAAGAAGAGACAGAGGATCAGTTAACCTTCGGTTAGCAGTTAACCGACGTTTGTGAAACTGGCCCTTATTATGTGTAATAAAACTATCTTTTTTTGTCAGCGCCTATCTTAGAATATATGTATGTGTACAGAATATAAGAACGATCATTGCTCAACGACATTATAGTAATTTGAATTGACGTGTTCGAATCAATAACGCAAGATACGTATAGCAAACGTCAGTTACTACTTATCGACTCTAAAATTGACTCAGTTGTTGAAGATGACGGATTTTTTATATATCTCTCGAATTTTTTCGAGATAACAAGTTTTTCTTTCCTCTTAACGAGTACAATAGCAATAAAGTTTTACCGAGAAAAGCAATTTTCTCTTTTTTTTAGATCTTGTTATTAGATGTAGATATTTTAAACATCATTAGTAAGTATCCCAACACGATCTACTACATTTGATCAAAGACACATTCAGCAGTATCGTTTATTCATTGACTATTCCTATTTAGTGCCTCTAAAGGCCATTATATTCAAACAATAACAACTATTAGGTCTGATAGAAACTGAAAGGACGACAAACATGTAACATTAATGTTACGCATTAACAATGTTTGTCCTTTCGTAAAAATAGTTGCTCGACTTTATAATTAATGTAACCTACATTTTTAAGTTTTACAATTTCAGAAAGACTGAGTCGTTCGACCATTAAAAAGGCATCGCTTACTTGCATTCGCTGAGGCAATATTGTCCTCGTTGCGTGTGTTATTGTTACCGCCGTAATAATAAAATTGACCTCATACCTAATTACTCGGACGCCGATAAGCGTAGATCATGCGACACATCACGCGATCTAGGTGCCCTTCGATACTACTCTACCCCGGAATTTCTTTCGCTTCGTAAAATGCAGCAGTCAGAAAACGATCCTCGTTGTGATCACACTGTATCTGACGCATCTCCGCAGAAAACAAGTCCAGTTTCGTCTGGCTCTGACAGTATCCTCTTCCTAGGAGGCAGGCGTAGGGACCGTCGCGTTGTTCGCGGACTGTTTCGCGCGCCTTCGCTTATTCAACAAGGGATTGTTCGTGTGATCGAGCTGCTTCAGACACGCCGTGTCGTAGTCGACGCGCATTGTCGCCAGCGATCGCGTCATCTCCTCTTGCACTTCCGGCCACATTTCCTCTCCCTCGCGCAGAACGCGTCCGGTGTGTAAGGGAGTAGCGGGTACCTCCATATATTTCTGTGGGAGACAAGTGGCTTTTGAAAAGATATATTACGAAGAAAATTTTCTTGTTAAGAGAAAAATTTTGTCATAAAGTGTTTTGTTCTTACGGCAATCCAGTTGTTGCGCATCACAGCGTCGATCTGAAGCCTTTCCGCTGGATCTATACACAGCATACCCTTGATGAGGTTCTTAGCTTCCTGGCTCACGTTCGCCCATTCCGGAGAGGGAAAGTCGTACTGTCCCAGTCGGATCCTCTTTTTCATTCCGGGCGAGATCGCTAATCCGTGATTGCTGTAGAATGGTGGAAAGCCGCACAATCTAGAAATAACGTGTAACTTTTATTAGAATTCATTAGGTCTTAACGAAAAGCATCGAGCACCCAAATAACATGCATGTCTAAAAGACATCTTTAAGACGGCATTAAGCAGTCTTTTAGACATGCATTGCTATCCGGGCACGGCTCTATATCATAGTAGAAAAATTTAATATGCAATAACTCTTGAAGTCACACGGAAGAACACTCACAATATGTACATAATTACTCCCAATGACCAAATATCACAGCTCTTGTCGTACTTTTCTGGCCCCAAAACTTCCGGAGCTAAAGATAAAATATAAAAATGGATTAATTTTAACTTTAATTAATGCCGCGTATGTATTCGCATAGTAAAATGCGAAAGCTTACCGACGTAGTACGGTGTGTAACATGGTGTCTGTAACGTGTCTTTTAAATGTGTTTCTTTCGCAAATCCAAAGTCGGTGAGTTTCAGGGTTCCAGTGATGTCTGGGAAAATGCATAAACACTATGTCAATCTTGCTATCCTAGTGACATACTATCAGTGAACTTGCGAAAATAACAATAAAAATATACAATTTATTTAAATGCATATTACAACATTCAGATTAGCCTCTGCGATGTGTACATATAGGTATATATAGCTAAACATATACACGTAAATAAAGTTATCGTAGTCTTCACAGTTGTAACTCTTCAAAGTGTTTGCAGATAATACGCGATTAACTTTTAAACTCGTGAAATGTTGCGGATAGATAATAATGTTTTCAAGCCTTGTAGGAAAACAAATAATATTACGAATGGTATTGCGAGGCATACATAATCGTGTTCTCTTACCAGGTTTGGAATATAAAAGATTCTCAGGTTTTAGATCCCTGTGAGTGATGTTCATGTCGTGTAGATGCTTCACCGCGACACAGATCTCGAACATCACTTGCGCCGCCTCTGCGAAGAAACGTACGGTAAATTTACAGTAGTAGTTTTCTAAAAGTGGGAACATCTAGCAGATTTCGAAAGCTGTTTACCTCTTTCGGTAAAAGCGCCGTCTTGCCTATCTTGTATCCTTTGAAACAGCTCTCCGCCTTCCATGCTGAAACAAAGGAGTTGCGCGTGAATCTGAAGAATCATGCTCGCGATAAATGACGCGGCGGTTGATTAACAAGTGTTACGTTTTCTTACGTACCATTCCATAACTACCAGCAGACATTTGTTCCCGCTATAGGAATTTTCATACACATCCTTGACTTGGACTATGTGCCTGCAATTTGACGCTCTCCAATGAAGCTCGACCTCTCTCCGCGCTTTTGCGCAGTCATGCAGGACCTGAAAACAACGTGCCGTTCAGCTCGACCGATTCACTCGACAGAAATTTCTCATTAAACTGTGTAAAAATAAGAGCAAGAAGAAAAAACTTCAATCTTATTGTTGAATGTAACACGGAAAAATCCAGAGATATTAATGATTATAAATTTTCGTTAGATGAGAAGCAATTTTTAATATATCTAAAGAATAATATAAAGTACAAAATATACTATATATTATATATTTATTATATAAAGTATAACGCGTTGAAAAATATTATTAGTGCTATCAATATCGAGAAATTTGAATGCGGTTGGCGACTTGATCGGTGATTTAGAAATAAACGACTTGAAGTGTCGAAATTATCGTCAGTATTCGCATCGCATTTCCGTTACGTGCAGATTATCGTGCAGCCAGCAGGTAAAGTCTTGACTCATAGCTCGCAACATTATTTATCGCACAAAAGCGACGTCATCGCGAGGATTTCCTAGATAAAGATTTTTTCGCATCGTCCTCGTTGTTACAAACCGTATCGGTACGTGCGCGGCGTCTTACGTAACTAATGCGATAATTCATATCGAAAAGCCATCCAGCCATCACGTCACTCAACAAACGAATAATTAATGGTATCGTAAGAAATATATTAAAATTATACGGGAATTACTATGCATGCAACAGAAAAAAAAACTCGACGCAGGTGTCGACGAGATGGCGAATCTTATCGCTTTCAAAACACGATTTTTTTAATGTGCATTCAATATTCACATTATTTATCTTCACAGCTTCGATTCAAATATCTCGAATAATTAAATCTGTAGGAATTTGATTAACGGTAAGATTGATCTTGCCGCTTCATTTTTCTTTGTTTCAAATGTTATGTTTATATGAAATAATTAAGTATATTATTAAATATCATACCGCTTTAAACTTGATCGCATACAGAGTTCGCGAAAAAGTTCTTTATTTCGCTTGTGACTTACAGCGGTTGATTAATCCTTTCATGACCGAGTTATTTTTTTATTTATCTACTTTTTAAGCGGGACACTAGCGTCCCAAGGAACCAGAGAGCACGAGGGAAATGTAAGCGAGACTTGTATATCCCAGTGGTCGTGAAAGGATTAAAGAAAGACGATCTCTAAACCGATCAGGTGATCGTTAAAGCTGAAATTACATATGATTTCCGTGTAAGACCGAGTAAGCCGTGTATATAAGGAAAGAATTAGCGAAGAAACATGAGGTTTCTTCTATACACGGAGGTGAATGACACGGAAGTTGCTGATGGCATAATACCAGATTGCTCAATCACACCGTATGCCTCGCCGTTAAAAATTTATCAGCGATCGGGCACACGTACGTGCAAGCGCGTGAACTTCCTCCTGGGCGAATCCGCTCGCGTAATTGCGCCCTTTTGAGACGCGATCTTGCCGGGCGATTATACGAGTTTACCGCAGACGATTACCGCAAACGTCTATTGTGACGCGGTGAAAAACTAAAATAGCCGGTGTATTGTACTCATAAAGTGGACCGAGCGGCACAGGAGACTCATCATCCGCGATCTCGCCGATCCGAGATGTACCGTTTAATTTATGCCAACATCGAGCGACGAGGGCGAAGAGCAACGCTTTGCAGGCGTGTTCGGCGTATTGTCATACGCTGACGCATTGCCGTATTGTCGCATTGAAAGCTCGGAAATTATAGTTTTCAAGTCGAAGCATCCGGCTGCCGCGTGGGGGAGAATGAAATCAGATCAGATGCCACGTCATCGCGAGCGCATTTCTCGAAAAAAAAATCCGAGGCTTCTTGAAATAGCTCGAACGTGAAACGCGATTAGCGCGGTATCGTTGCGTCAAAGCTCTTGAGAGAGTCGACTTATTTCAAGTTGAAACAACCCCGATGCGAGATACCGTGGCGAGATTGACGGTAAAACGGAAGAGGATGAAGAGCCGCGACGCTTTTGTAGATCCCGGCCGATCCGAAGGCATTCGGAGCCTCACGCCAAACGTGAGGTAGCGAGAACCGGTTTCTAGATTTATTCCTATTCCGGAACAAAGATCGCCGGGATCGGCGATAATAGAGGCGAACGGAAAAATGTTGCGTTCGTTGAGACAGAAGAGAAAACTTAATATTATCACGTACTTAATGGATACACGAGGCCGAAGCCTTTCAGCAGTAAATCAAGTACGTAAAAGTTGTAATAGATTTAGTGTTAGTAATATTAAAAGTTATATACAGGGTGTCCCATTTTAACTTGGACAGTACAATGTCTCAAAAACTAAGCCCAGCAAACAAAAATGTTTCAGACAAAAGTTGCAATCATAATATATACATAATATACACGCGCTTTCGCAACGATCGCGCGGTTCTCCATAACTTATAGTTATAAGTTAAGGAGGTCCGCGCCATAATATTTCCACGTCTAAATTAGAGCCGTAATATTTCCACGTCTTTCTCTCCCACGTATTTGCTTGTGTGTTGGCGTTATCCGCTCGTATAGGCGAAAGGCCACGTTTAAGTGTACCGTCGTGATAAATAGGTACGTCGTAAAATTAGATTGAGATTCATTGAAGCCACGAAAATGGCGAAATGCCGCTCCACGTGGGTTGTGCAGAAACGAACAAACTGACCGAGGGCTCCCCTAAGGGAAAACCTACCTACATTTTTACGGAAGGGGATTCATCTTCCGCGGCCAAGCTTCGTAACGCAATCGTCCTTGCGCGTGTCAGGAAGAAAAACGCCGAAGCGACCGCGCGCGACCGCGGACCAATACCGGTCGCCGGAGCTAGGCGCTAATGAGATTAGCGTCTTACCGTTATACGAGTCTACCTGCCGCGCGAAATAGACGGATAGACGGGCGGGACTGTCACTCCCGACGGCTCTTGGCGACAGATCAAATTGTTCCGCACGTCGTTTTCCGCGCGTCCACGCGCGCCGGGAGACTTTACACGCTCGGCTATAAAAGCGGACAACGTAATCCGATGCAACGCGACGACGTCACGCACGTGGAAAACCGCGCAATCGATAGCGCGCCTTTCCGCTTCCGTCAGGCTATTATGCGGCAGGCGCGTCAGTTAAGCGGAATTGGAAAAGTTTTCCATCCGTCAAGGAAAAGTCAATCGTCGGGATAACAGGGTGCTCGCGGCTCCTTCGTTCCCTTCGTTATTGCCTCGATGGTAACGCAGTCAAGTGTGCGTGTAATAAAAATTGCATAATATAAATCTGTAATGCTCTGGGAAAAAAAAGACAGCTACCCATTTTGGGGCCCGCAATTAGTAATCGAATTATTTGGATTGTTCGTAACACTCTACTCTGGGAAAAATTTTGACTGGTTTTTGTTGTAGTTAAGCATCTTAACATTTCGGTTAGTGCCTCTTAAAGGGATGCTGGAGTGATTCTGCACTTTTAGCACCTTTTGGTCCTAGAACTGTCAGTTCGTGAAAACATTTGTGTAATATACAAATTATGTGGCTTTTGTGTATGAACCGATAGTGTTCCATTATTCGGACTAAATCAGAGAACAACATAGCATCATTGAAATTAAGTTTAGGAGCCTAACCAGAAGTTTATTCACTCGAATAAGTTAGGTTACCTAATCTATAACTTATTCGAGTGAATAGATCTGTAACTGTAACTTAACTCAGCTACATTTTTTCGATAACTAGTAACTAATTTAATAGTTACTTTATAAATTACATTAGTAGTTAAATAATAGAATACATTAATAGTTACTTTATAAATTTTTTAAACCTCCACAGATCGCATTAGGTCTTACATTTGCACATAAACGCTTTTATCGGCACTTTATAATTCAAACGCAGATTTGATATTTCTATTATCATTGCAAGAAAGTAACTGCAAAGTAACGATTTGTTACTTTTTGAGTAACTGTAACTGTAATGCATTATACTTTCTAGAATTGGTAACTTGTAACTGTAACTAGTTACATTTTTAGCGAAAAAACTGTAACTGCAATTAGATACTTTTATAAAGTAACTTTTTCAATCCTGTTTATAACAAAGAAGAACGTTATTAGAATATTCGTCGAGAATGTCTTTGGAATATTCATTCAGAATTTTATTTAATTTTTTAATATTCATCGAGTTTATGTATTGCACATTGTTTATTATGTAATATACTTATCTTATGCAAAGAACCAGTGAAACCTATAATCATACCACATATAACGGACACGTTATACTTGTATTCGATAGATTATTCTATTCACATTCGAAAAAGATTTACAGTAGTGCCAGTCGAATGTTCTACGAACATAAGATAAATACAATATATAAGAATGACCTATGGAATATTCCAAATATTATTGAAGAATATTCTTAAAATGTTGATAGGAGTGTCTTGTGCTATCTGGGTAGCTGTCAGTGCGGAGATGATGTAATATGTATTTTGACAGAGTGTCAACGTCAGATTCCGTCTTCTTCACATGAAAAAAATCTTACAGTGTAAAGAAGATGACGAATAAATATAAATTAACACCAAATAGCGCGCGCAATGCTATTTCCAATAAAGTATTTAATGCCAATTTATATCATTATTAAAGTAAACAATTCGATAATTTTTGCTCATGATAAATGAAGATTTGTAATTTAGTAATATACATTTGTATGCATCAACTATTGAGGTAAAATCTCTAATCTTAGTAATTAGAATTTAAGTAACAACGATTTTCGTTTCGAAACATTTTCTCGACTGAACAGAATTAATCATTCATTTAATCCATACCAATAAGTCCGCGGAATGATACGCAAAACGTAGCAACAGTCACGGAACAAAGTAATGAACAATAAAATATTAAGTACGGAATTTTCCATTGCGTAGGCAGGCCAACGAATTCTCAACGTTTTTTTTGTTGTTTTTCACTCGGCGCGGTATCGTACGACGATTAAGCGGGCCAACGAACTCTCAACGTTTTTTTGTTGTTTTTCACTCGGCGCGGTGACGTACGATGTTTTTGCGTACCATCGTGTACCTGAAGGTCGCCGCGTTCTCACTCGCTCGCCGAACGT